AAATAAAGTTAGTTTAGGTTTCCTCCTGCAGTAATACTGGATCAATTAGAGATGATCCTTACTAGACCTCTAGGAAGAACAGTTTAGAATTGATAGAGTTATCCAGTATAAATAAAGTTAGTTTAGGTTTCCTCCTGCAGTAATACTGGATTAATAAGCGATTATCCTTACTGGACCTCTAGGAAGAACAGTTTAGAACTGATAGAGCTATCCAGTATAAATAAAGTTAGTTTAGGTTTCCTCCTGCAGTATCAGTAGACCACTAAGGGATAACAATTCTTAGTGTTCCTACGTTAGTTAAAGTTTGTTTAATTTATCACTCTGTATGCTGAAGCTATAGTGAAACCTTCCATCATTTTATTCCTAGCCTGGTTACGAAGGCAAGCAGTGTGAAGAATGTAGCGACGGTTATTTCGGCAACCCCCTGATCCCGGGGGGAAAATGTGAGAAGTGTAACTGTAGTGGAAATGTTAACTTTACCGAGGACGGGGGGTGCGATAAGAGAACCGGAGAGTGTCTCCGCTGTCTGCATAATACTGCTGGCTACTTCTGTGACGTGTGCAAACGTGGTTACTATGGAAATGCCAAAAATCAAACATGTAGACGTAAGTATTACTATTTATATGTTGCGTTTGGTGGCTTAGCTTATTGACAAGTTTCAGTAAGCGTTACATTTTCAGATGTAATCACATCCAACAAGTTCTTTACGAAACAAATTATTCGTTCTTTATAGCTTGCAGTTGTAACAACATCGGGACGGACTCGGGCTCAGGCCCTTGCAATCCTACAACAGGGCAATGTCCTTGCATGCCCAATGTCGTAGGTTTGTCATGTGACCGCTGCGCGCCAGGGCACTGGGATCTAGCAAGTGGTGAAGGATGTAAGTCATGTGGATGTTGTGCTACTGGTTCGACCACGACACAATGTGATCAGGTAATCTCCTTGTTTTACTCATTTTAGTATGCTCTTACCGGGAATATACTTTTTTTGCCAAGATAAAAAATTAGTATATAATTGGAATTGTCTATTTGAGGGGCATTCAAGATAGATGTTTGTTTCACTTAATCTGTTTTACCAGGTGTCTGGGGTGTGTCAATGTCGTCGAGATTTTGGAGGTCCAAAATGTTGTGATTGTGAAGAAGGATTCTGGGGAGTACCCCCTGGACAGTGCACACGTGAGTAGCGGTAGTGGAAGTCTAAAGCTACGTTTACACGCTGCCTTTAATCGTGTACGATTCGTTTTCTGGCGTATGTCATTGAGTAAACACGCGTAAGCGGGCTACATTTGAAATTTCTTTTTAACGAAACGAGCACTCATTTTAATACGCCAGAATACGAATCGTACACGACAAATCGTGGCGTGTAAACGTAGCTTAACCTGAACCATTTATATAGAACCGTTGCTTCTCAGGCCTGTTTTAGGCCTGTTCTAAACGTCGCATTTTACATGTGCCGAATGCATTCAAAACAATAGATAATCAGCTGAAATGCCTCATTATCCATTGTTTTGACGTCGTTTAGAACAGGCTTTATACGTCGAATTTCGGTTGCGTCGAATGCAATTCAAACAATAGATAATGAAGCTTAATGAGGTTATGATCTCATTATCTATTGTCTTAATTGCATTCGACGCGACCAAAATTCGACGTATAAAACAGGCCTACTGGCGGTTTTCGGTATAGGCGAAATTTTTCGACCGAATCGAAATTTTCTTTTGTCTTACAAGCACTCAGATGGAACTAATCAGAAATCTTTTGAATTTGAACAATAGAAATTTCGGTTCGATCGAAAAATTTCGCCTGGTGGAAAACCGCCCTAACCGTGCCTTAACAAACCATTCATCTTTTCTTGTTTTTTTTTCCCATCAGCATGTGACTGCAACCCCAGTGGCTCACTCCAGACTCAATGCAACCGACAGACAGGTGAATGTGTTTGTAAACCTGGCGTAACGGGCAGGAAATGTAACAAATGTGAACCAGAGACGACCCAGGAGTTCCCGGAATGCGAGGCTTGTCATGATTGCTACTACAGCTGGGACAAAATTATTTCTGATCTGGAGAAAATTGCTTGGCGTCTCAAAGGCAAAAGTGGAGGTAGTTTATTTTATGATACGTTCCTTGTATGTTTGATTGGAGAGAGATAATTGTTTAGTTTCTTGGAAACACCATGTGTATTTATTTGGGAAAACTTTAATAACTAAACATACGTGATATTTCCACGAAACAAAACAATTATCAATTTATTCGAAAGTCGTGGGTTTTCTGATCATTAGCTGACCACGTCTACACATAACAGGGCTTGAATTTTATCACGGCAATCTCGACAATTGCCGTAGAGGGAGAACAAAATGCCGTGGATCATTGCGGCAACGACGGCAATTTTTTGCCGTATAGTGTAATTTTTATACTATTCACTGTGCATTACTATTTTGGTACTTGAATTCAGATGTTGATCAAATCATGCGTAAATTACTGTTTTAGTCTCAGTTTTCTTCGAAAAAAAAACCACTAAAGAAATACGTAAACATGTTTCTAGCTTGTCAACAATCCAAAGTAACAATGAAATTAAATTTTTATTACAGTAATTTGAAAAAAAAATTGCCGTAGACAGCTGTTACGTTTTACGGCAATTTTTAACGCCATTGCTGTCGATTGATTTCAGGGAATTTTGAGGCCTGACACCTAACCATCTACATGGGTAAGTATGGTAACAACAGATATTAATTCATTTTATACTTTTCATTGTTACAATTTTTGTCAGGTAGTGGAGGAGGAGGCCCTGTGTCCGTGGATTACCAGAAGGAGTTAGACGCATTAGAAGAAATAGTCCGTAGAATTGAATACATTCTTGGCAACAGAACCACCTACCCTAAACACGTGGAAGATATTAAAGAGAGAATCAGTAAATATCGGGAAAAAATTATGGAAATCATGAACACGATCGATCAGGTCCATGGAAACCTGGACAATACAGAATCGAGAACGAAAGTTGCAAACAACGAGATTTTCAAACTTCGAATGATTTATGAACGACTTCGTATTTTACTTGAAGGACAGCTTCGTAATCTCACACTTATCGAGGGAAAAAAACCAGGACAGGCTCTCAATCAAACACGCAGGAGTTTGGAGGTTTCGAACATGGCTTTTGATATTTCCGAGGAGGTTCGCCGAGTTCTTCAAGAGTCTGCTCAGCAACGATCAGATATGCAGAACAAGGTACCTGGGTACGAGACGACGAACGATGAAATTCTTGACAAGCTGAGGAAATACGAGCAAGAGTTTGGCTCTCTTGTTGATGTGGTCGCCTGGATTAATCGGAAGTTGTGTGGAAATAATAGAACAGTTTGTGGAGGGTGTACCCCCTTTGGGTGTGATAAATGTGGTGGGGAGGACGTGTGTGATGGAGCCATGCCTTTAGCATTGAAGGCTGTCGAGAAAGCAAAAGAGGCTGAACGAGCACTTTGGGACAAAGAACGTAAGTCGAGGGGTGGGTGGGGTGGGGGGAAGGTAGAGTTGGGGGCAGAGTAGAGTAGCTAGATTGGAACTTATTGCATCTTTCTCTGTTTGTTCAATACAGGCAAAGCCAACGCTACACTAGCCGAAGTGATCGAGGCACAACTTGCTGTTGATACTGCAATGAAGGAAGCGAAGATTGCACTAGACCTGGCCAAAGCAATTCAAATTCAAGCTTCAAATAACACAGATCACGTTACTGGATTAATACAGGTACGTCTTGGAGCATCTGGCTAAGAGCGATCTTATTTCTCAAAGGAAAATACCTTGGCATGGTTGATATGTGGCTTTTACTAAACACCAGAAACGTAGCCATCCCCAAATGAGTGTGTGGTGGTGGTGGTGGTGGTGGGGGGAGCCATCCCCAAATGAGTGTGGGGGGGGGGAGCCATCCCCAAATGAGTGTGTGGTGGTTGGGAGCCATCCCCAAATGAGTGTGTGTGGGGGAGAGGGGTCTAATAGTCGAATACACCGAACAATTAGGAGGTCCAGCCATCCGGGGGCATGGTTTCCCGGAAATTTTTTTTTCGTGGTTCATACATTTTAGACACGTTTTATTATAATCTGAAAGTCACAGATTTAGTATATTTATGCCATAGATGAGAACATTAAGAGGTTATGCCCCCTCCCCCAAACTGTGGGTTATGCCCTCCTCCCCCACCCCACAGTTTCTCGTCAGTTTTGAAAGAATTACAAAATTTGGTCTTGAAGAAAGGTGGTAACTGGGTGAGAACTATTCCCCCCGTGGCTAAGCCTCTGGGCACCCCCCCCCCCAACTGCCATTGAACTATAAGGAGTCAAATATAGAAATATTTTTTCTGCAGGAAATCTTCGTTTATTTGAATCGAAGCGGTGTCGATCCGAACGAAGTGCGAAGAATTGCAGAGTTTGTTTTGGGAAGAAAACTGACGATTTCTGAAGAAGGAATTAAAGAGCTTGATCGACGAATCAAAGAAGCTGTCAGAAAACTGACGGGCATTGACAGAATACTGCAAGAAACAAAATACGATTTGATGAATATTGACACCCTCAAGGAAGAAGCGATTCAGGCAAAGTAAGTGTAATAGTCCAGTTATAATTTAAGTTCATTCAGATGTAAGATGAATGCTTCCACTTTGATCCTCGCACGTTTTCTCCGTTTTCTTTCTGTAGTAACACTGGATCAATAAGAGATGATCCTTACTGGACCTCTAGGGAGAACAGTTTAGAACTGATAGAGCTATCCAGTATAAATAAAGTTAGTTTAGTTTAGTTTTCCTCCTGTAGTAACACTGGATCAATAAGAGATGATCCTTACTGGACCTCTAGGAAGAACACTTTAGAACTGATAGAGCTATCCAGTATAAATAAAGTTAGTTTAGTTTAGGTTCCTCCTGTAGTAACACTGGATCAATAAGAGATGATCCTTACTGGATCTCTAGGAAGAACAATTTAAAACTGATAGAGCTATCCAGTACAAATAAAGTTAGTTTAGTTTATGTTTCCTCCTGTAGTAACACTGGATCAATAAGGGATAATAACCCTTACGTACTGGATCTAGGGAGAACAGTTTAGAACTGATAGAGCTATTTGGTTGTCATTATTGAATAGAATATTTATTTATTTTACAGTTTATCAGCGGCAGATGCAGCAGAAACCGCAAAAGAAGTGACAACGTCTCTGAAAGGTGTTGTCGTGGTTCAGGATGGCTTGCAAATATCATTAAAGAAAGCGAAACGAAAAATTGAATATGTTGAAGTTAAGCTACTTGAGGTGAGGTTGTTTCAAATTTTAAAGCAAGAAAAACTGCAGCCCCCGGCCAGAGCAAATTGTAAATCGTATTGCGAAAACAGTTTCCTAACCATGTTTTCAGAAGGTAGACAAACAAGGAAACATTGTTTCCTAGCCATTTTTTCAGGCATCAGATAAACCAGGAAAGATTGTTTTCCTAAATCACGCTTGGGGGACTGAAATATTTTCTGAATTTGTCGAAAAACAGTTTGGCCTTTGGTAAGGAACATTGTTTCCAAGTGGACAAACAGTTGAAGAACGATCGAAATTTTCAGATATTACCGCAACGTCTATTTATTTTTGTAAATTTTTACCTGCAGATCGAGACAACGATCAACAAAACTCTGAACAAATCTATCGAATCTGTGCGCCTCACGACGGAGATGAAGCAAAGATTGGCACCGTTGGAAAAGAAATTCGAGGAAAATGAGAAACTGTTGGTGGTAGCTGAGACTGAAGTAAACGTGGCTGTTAATATTTCATCCAAATCAAAGACTGTAAGTATCTGGGCAGCTCTCATCTCATAATTAGTCTTAATTTAAGTCTGGTTCACACTAGTAAAGTTTCTGTGATCACAGTAGGAATTTTGCATACGTTTTGAAGGATTTGTAAAGGAACTGACTTATAGCCTGCTTAGCAGACCCCATCCGAATTTCCGGTTTTCTTTTGAACGAAATATTATAATTTTTCTGTCACGGCGGCGATAAACATCTTTTTCTGACACGTTCACACCAGTAAGTAAAACTTGTCATATGAAAACTTGGCATATAAAATTTGTTGCATAACGGCTGAGTGTCAATTCCCTCAAACGTGCAATTCTTACAAATCCTTTAAAACTTAGAATTTACCAATGCAAAATTCCTACTGTGATCACAGAAACTTTGATAGTGTAAACCATCCTTTATAACACTCAGTAAGTTTCCTCAAAC